AGGGTGTCCAGTCCTGGTCCTGCAGGGTCAGTGTGTCTGCAGGGTGTCCTGTCCTGGTCCTGCAGGGTCAGTGTGTCTGCAGGGTGTCCTGGTTCAGTGAAGCCAATTATGAGATGATCCATGTTTAGAGCCCAGTGGGACTGCAGCCCTGTAGACCCAGTGACCCTCCAGGAACCCTGCTTGTCAGGTAGAGAGATAATGGAATGTGTGTCTCACAGAAGGTGGTCAGGACCTGTGGAATGATCAATGTCATAAAAACCTCTAGTATTTCAATACTGGTGAAGGACTGCAAAATATCTGAGACATTTCATTCTTTCACTGAATTCATGATTTTCTCCTAAAAAAAAACACACAATAATAATAATTGCAATTGAGTGGTTCTACAGTTTGTTTTATATATGTCTGAAATTAATGTTCTGTGTGTTTGAAGAGTGTGGTGTCTTTGCTTTGAGACAGAGGGCTCTCACTGTGCCTCATCCTAATTAAACAGGCACAGGGCTCACTAGGGCTCACGTACCATTGACCCTCAAGGTGTTTTTGAGGTAGCGGAGGGGGCTGGAGCTGGCCAGGATGTCCTGGGTCAAAGTGCTGCTGCTCTCGAGGTGAGTGGTGTTGAAGATGAGGGTGATGGTGGTGTCTATCCAGTTGCTGGAGTTGCTGTGAAAATGAAACAGATCCTAATTCTTAATCCTGGGCTAGGTCCCCAGGGCAGTGAGCACAGTTGTTGCCGTGCTATCCCTGGTTGTATATCCCACTCTCCAGGATTCCTCTGGAATGGCGTAAATGGGATCAGTGAGCTCTTGCAGAGCCAAACAGACTAGAGGGAGTCGCTTGGCATCGCTCTGGTGTTCAGACGCGTAACAGTAACATCCACCAGTTTGTCTCTTGAGAATCATGGGTTACCGGGGGACAGGCCCCGCCCCCTCGTCACCAGTCCCGCCCCTCTAATATCCCACACTGCAGTGGTACAGAAGCCCCAAGATGAAAACCGCGAATTCTCACCTGAGGACTGCAAAATAGTTGTTACCCAGAGTCCCATAGTACTTGGAGAGCACTCCTCCCAGCTGAGGAAAGACAGAAACACAGTTGTTCCTGAATGAAAATGTCACTCTCATAGGGTCAAAACCCTACGCACCACCAAAAAAAATCCTAAATTCAATACCTTAGATTGAAATAAAGAAAAATCAACAGGAAAAAAGGTCTCGTTACCTCAAATGACAGTTACCTGTCTATGGACTGAGACAGCTACCTCGTTTCCCCAATTTAAAACACAACACAAACAGGACAGAAACGTTGGGGTATAAGAGCTTTAGAACAATTACAAACATGAGGAGGCCATTCAGTCATTTGATGGTATCTAACTATTTAGTCATTAATAGCTAATTAATCCAAGGGTTTTGTCTATCTTATTGAGTTCTTGGCAGGTTGTTCCACACTCCCACTACCCTTTGTGTAAAGAAGTGACTCCTGTTCTTGGTTTTAAATGCACTCCCACATAGTAAAGTAGCATCTGCTATGACCTCCTTCCCTCTTCTGTGTTCTAACGATACAATTTATTTATATACCCTGATCACTGGTGTGCCAAAGTCACGGACGTCTCTAAATCAGAAGGTAAAATACATGGTGACAAAAAGCAGATAGCTACATCGTGTGTTGTGAACAATTTGCTCCTGTCCTCGACTGGTGTTTTGCATTGGATTATCTGTGACTGCTACTGATGCAGCATCTTTCATTCACATCAGATTCTCCAAAACCTTGATCCAAGCACCTAGAAGTCACAGGAGCAGCCAGCACATCCTTCATTGTATGTCAGTTGTACCCTATTGATCCATGATCAGGTCTTCCTTGTCCTTAACATGATCTGTTAATCAAGGGTCTAAACAGATCTGAGGCTCATACCCTTCATTTTATACTACAATGAACAGATGTGCCAGGATTCACTCACTAAATCACTATGGCCAAAATGCCAGTAGAAAATTGTTATAAGTGTCACAAGTGTGTTTCTGCATGAAGGACTTAAGACATTGGTTGCACTGAGCAGAGCCAGCAGAATGCCCAGAAAGTGTTGCACAATGGTGTAGATTAGATGATGTTTTCTCACCCAGTTGCTGAGAGATGCGTATGGTAGGGACTGGGAGATGTAGGGCTCTGCGATGAGCAGCTGCACTTTCACCTCCAGGGGGGACAGTGTGCTGAGGCTGACATCTGGAGCAAGAGAGGGGCCAGTTAAACAGACTGAATAGCTTCTTAATTAAGGGCTTGAATGGGCACCTGACATCTGAACTGTAGAACACTGCTCTACGGTCTTGACTGGACTGGGGCTCTCAGAGACTGAACTGACCCAGTTACTGTCCAGGTGAGTCAGATTAACACTGATCTTCAGTCTTGACTGAAGGACTGGGGTTCACACAGACTGAACCGACCCGGTTTCTGTCCACGTGAGTCAGATTAACACTAATTTACAGTCCTGACTGAAGGACTGGGGCTCTTAGAGACTGAGCTGACCCAGTTTCTGTCCAAGTGAATCAGATTAACATAGTCTACAGTCCTGACGGAGGGACATATTAACTGAGATCAGAGTCAAGGTCGGAGTTAGGGATCAGGGATTTGGCTAGGGTCAAGGTCAGGTTTGGGGGTCAGGATCAGTGTCAAGGTCACTTACTGCCAGATCTCAGACTCTCTGTGTCCACAGGGATGGAGCCGAGGTTGCCTGAGGTGGTGGCTGATTTCAGGGCCCGAACGGTGTCCGAGCTGCTCGGGGTGGAGGAGGCCGAGTCAAACTGGAGCTGACCGTCCACAAGCACCGAGCCCGAGCTGCAGGGACAGGACAGGACAGGGGGACACCGTCAGAGCACTGGACCGAGAGAAGAGCAGAAAAGACAGAAGCTACCAGACAAGGAATCAGGTGCCACTGCCAACACCACAGAGCAGAGGGAAGCTGTCAGGAATGGCAGGGCTCTGTTTACAAGTATCACCCCTGGAAGAAAATCAAGATTGTGGGCACCCCTACATTACCTGAGGGATATTCTCCCACAGCTCTGGAAACCCCGAAACAGTCTCCTTAATGTTGAGTCCAGCTGGAAAACAGGAACAAGTAACAGTCAAGACTCAGGACTCTTTTCTTTCAGTCCCAGAGTCTGACAGTGCTGAACACAGACATTACTATAATCCTAGAGGAACGGACACATATTCAGCACTGCGATTCTCTACAAGATAGAGAAATGAGAGCCAGAGCTCTCTGTTTCACTCATTTACAAAGTCACTGAGTGATCTCTTTAGTCCGAAGAGTGTCCCACACTAACAGTACTAAAGGAACTGAGTCTCTTTAGTCCGAAGGGAGTGTCCCCACACTGACAGACTAAAGGAACTGAGTCTCTTTAGACTGAATGGAGTGTCCCACACTGACAGGCTGAAGGAACTGAATTTCTTAAAAAGTCTTAAAAGAAGCCTACAGTGATAGGCTAAATATACTGAATCATTTAGAGGCCACACATTACAGGGATGTGCATTTAAAACTAGCAACAGAATGAGGTACACAAAGAATTAAAAAGTCTGGAACAACCAATTCAGCCATATTGTCAAACTAGATACGCTGGAATCTCTCAAGAAAAATGCAGATAAGATTCTTGGGTTAAATCTCTCCTCATAAGCAAACTGAAGAGATAGTGCAAATGGGCTAATGTTATATTCTGTCAAAGTCAGAGCACATGAAATCATTAGGAAAACACCGGCATAGCTTTGTAAACTTTGATTAAGGATGCTTACTGTCCGACAAATTTCCCCAACAAGGGCCTTGTATTGTGACGAGGAGGTGTTCTTATATTCCGGGATGAAATTCTGGAGAAGTCTGAGGCCGAATGGAACAGAGGTGGGATCCGGGCTCGTTGTTGAAGAGGTTGTGGTGACAGACGTGCCATTGATCGCTGGAGTGGGCCAGAGCAGCTGAGAATTAGCACGTCAAGCCAAGAAGGAGAGGACTGGCCAAGCGACCAGATGAATATGCATTTTCACATCTGTTAGGAAAATGAGAGAAAAGACTGAGACTGTCTCACCTGGAGTGATGGTTTGCACTGTTGTCTGGGTGGCATTGATTGTAGTATTTGGGAATGTTGTTACTGTAGTCATGTTAAATTTATTCGGGAATGTTGTTACTGTAGTCATGTTAAATTCTGTCACATTTGGGAATGTTGTTACTGTAGTTGTGTTAAACTTAGTTGTATTTGGGAATGTTGTTACTGTCACATTTGTGAATGTTGTTACTGTAGTTGTGTTAAACTTAGTTGTATTCGAGAATGTTGTTACTGTAGTTGTGTTAAAATTAGTTGTATTTGGGAATGTTGTTACTGTAGTGTTAAATTTAGTTGTATTTGGGAATGTTGTTACTGTGGTCATGTTAAATTCTGTCACATTCGGGAATGTTGTTACTGTAGTCGTGTTAAAATTAGTTGTGTTCGGGAATGCTGTTACTGTGGTCATGTTAAATTCAGTCACATTCGGGAATGTTGTTACTGTAGTTGTGTTAAAATTAGTTGTATTTGGGAATGTTGTTACCGTCACATTTGGGAATGTTGTTACTGTAGTGTTAAATTTAGTTGTATTTGGGAATATTGTTACTGTGGTCATGTTAAATTCTGTCACATTCGGGAATGTTGTTACTGTGGTCGTGTTAAAATTAGTTGTATTCGAGAATGTTGTTACTGTAGTTGTGTTAAAATTAGTTGTATTTGGGAATGTTGTTACCGTCACATTTGGGAGTGTTGTTACTGTAGTGTTAAATTTAGTTGTATTCGGGAATGTTGTTACTGTGGTCATGTTAAATTCTGTCACATTCGGGAATGTTGTTACTGTAGTCATGTTAAATTCTGTCACATTCGGGAATGTTGTTATTGTAGTCGTGTTAGAATTAGTTGTATTCGGGTATGTTGTTACTGTAGTCATGTTAAATTCTGTCATATTTGGCAATGTTGTTAGTGTAGTCATGTTAATAACAGATGTATTTGGGTGATTTGTTACTGTAGTTGTGTTGGTAACAGCTGTATTTGGGGAAGATGTGACTGTAGTCATGTTGATAACAGTTGTATTTGGGGAAGATGTTAATGTATCTGCATTTGGTAGTGTTGTATTAAGATATAATGTGGTCGCTTTAGGTGCTGCAGTTATGGTAGTTATGTTAGTGCTCAGCTCAGCTGTGGTCACAGCCACTGGTCCTGATGTGGCATTTGCTGATGGGGTTGCCGTAGTGATGTGATGAGCTCCAGTTGTTGTAGATGGGATGGATGTCACGCCAGGTGTCAACGCTTCTGTAGACAATGTATGAAAGAGAAGAGACAAAATGACAGAGAAATCCTTTATAACAGGCTGCTGTTGGGAACTGTCTGGTGGAGACTGATCAGCTGTAAGAAAATGGGCTTATTTTTAGTTCTGCTAATTTGCATTCAGAGTGGGAAATACAATGTTTTTGTCAAAATACCCATGTACTTTTTTAACCTAAAATATAAATATATAGTATAGGTGTATATATAGTGCTATTACAAACAAGCTTCTGTTCTCTGTTTGAAGACAAATTACCTTGTTTTCAAGCCATGTTGTTATCTAAACATGGGATTGTCTGTTAATTTCTTATTAAACACAGTTTGCAACTTGTCTGTTGCTTCAATTCCATTCCCTGTACTGTAGAAGAAAGATGAAGCTGTGGGATCTAATCCAACCATTTTTTAAAGACACCAGGGTATTGGCTTCAACATTACAACTGAAAGCTTGATCCACACTCCCACCACCCTATGTGTAAATAAGTGCTTCCTGCTCTCAGTTTTTAATGCACTTCCACATCGTTTCCACTTGTGAACTCTGGTGTGTCAGAGCTTTTAAGAATTTTGACTTCTTAAATTCAAAAGCCTGTCAGTATGGAACACTCCCTTTGGACTAAAGAGACTCAGTTCCTTCACCCTGTCAGTGTGGGACACTCCCTTCAGACTAAAGAGACTCAGTTCCTTCACCCTGTCAGTGTGGGACCCTCCCTTCAGACTAAAGAGATGCGGTTCCTTCAGCCTGTCAGTGCAGAACATTCATTTAACCCTTGAAATCTGTCTGTTTGCAATATTCGAAATGTGGTCCTGCTTTTGCGCTGTACTAAGCACCTAAAAACACTTCCAAACAACAGGAGGCCATTCGGCCTATCTTGCTCAATTGTAAATGCAATTCATTAACCATTGTTTTAAATTCTGCACTTTGAGTTGTACATCCTCAGACCCTGAAGGACCTGAGTGAAGGGGCACAGGACACACACCTGGTCCTTCCTGGGTCATATGCTCGGAAGCCAGTGCTTTAATAATAATAATAATAAAAAATTAATAATTGCTTGCATTATATAGTGCTTTTCTGGACACTCCACTCAAAGCGCTTTACAGGTAATGGGGATCCCCTCCACCACCACCAATGTGCAGCTCTACCTGGATGATTTAGAGCCCCTTCGATCCACACCAGTCTGCAATAATCACAAGACTAGGTACCCCAGTTCTGGTCCTCGCCCACGCCCCCTTCTTCCTTGGAAAGGCCTTTAGAGGGCGACAGCGAGACTAACTACAACTCTCTTCTGTGCAGTCGACCGGCCTGGGGATGAAAGATCATGCTTGTCTGGGCACAACGACAGGAGCCTGAGCTCATTCCCTCAGGAAAAAGTGTGGTGAATGTACCCTGGGCTTGGATGGTGGAGGTATTCACAGGCAGAGGAAAAGAGCCGCTCTGAACCGCGCCTTGAAGAGTGACCTTGACCTCCTGCGGACTTGGGGCCGACGCCTGACTTCTGAACTGCAGCTCGACATCTGCCACAATGGAGCCATTCCTGAGGGAGGAGAGGAATCTTTAATCCCGAGCCTCCGGAGGCGAGAGTGGCACAATCAGGGAAAGGGCTGTTGTGCAGATGTGGACACAACATTTCAATTCAATTCAACAACAAGGTTGCCCCAAGGCGCTATATAAAAATAAATTGAATTGAATTGAATTGAGATGTTGTGTCAGTGGAAGGAAGGCAGATAAGAGTCGGGATTTGGTTCAAGGAAAAAAAAGCAGGGATGTGACTGGAGATGCAGTTGGGCTCTGGGACTGGTTTAAAGTTGGTCTTAGATCCAGTCCTAGTTTTAGGGTTAAAAGTTGTGGAGGCATTAGAATCCAGGTTAGGGTTAGGATTTGAAAAAGGGTTATGGATTTGAGCCAAGGAGCACTTTGGGAACAGAAGTAGTGTTATATTCTACATAAGAGCAGCTAGGACTGGAACCCGAGTCTGGGTGATTCTGCTTAGGTTTGTGTTGGCACTGGAGATAGTGAGGGATAAGGCTTCAAGCAGGAAGTTAACAGTTGGGTTAAAGCATGGACATGCAGAGAACTTGCCTTAAAATGTCATGCTCTTTGGAAAAAAATAAAATTGAAATGGAGGGCTTTCTGCTCACCTGAGATGTCTCACTACAGACCCGAGGAAGATTTCATTGAACTTTGCAGAGTAGACCTTGTTCAGCTGACAAAAACAGGAAGAGTAGGACATTTTTAATGGTCTTTTCTACGTTCTACAAGTGCTCTGCTGAGTGTGCTCACGTGTGGGATGACAGTGTGGTTTGGCAGCAGCTCGTTATCTTACTGGAAGGTGATACCGGGGGTGATCAGGTCAGCCCAGTCCAGCATTGGAGTCCAGCTCTCCTCTACTGTTAATATTTCCACAACTTGTTGTCTCAGGAAGGCTGGAAGTATCGCTAAGGACAAAATCATCCTGGTTTCTCACTCTTCTCCCCCCTTCCCTCTGGTCAGCGTTATAGGAGCATAAAGACACAAACCTCCAGATTCAGAGAGAGTTTCTTCCCACAAGCTGTCAGATTACTGAACTCTACCCCTACCCCTGACTCACACTGATGTGTTTTTTTAAGTTGTGTGTTATTGAACGTTTTATTGCTGCTGCTGCTGTGCTGCCTTTATGTTTCGGTGTTTCCTTAATGTATTTTGTGCATGTGACAAATAAACTGAATTGAACGTACTGTAACCGGATGGATTACACTAGTCTAGGTCAAATCCACACGATACAGTACCGAACTAAACCCCAACATTGTGACTGAGGAGCCTCTACAGATGATCTTTTTTAAACATCTGTGATAAAAACTCCTGTCTGAATGATTTCACCCTGTGTGTGAAGAAATTCCTGATCTTTTCGGATGATCTGCACACCAAAGTCCAATCACCAGTTGCTAATCAGCAGGTCTGTGTCAGCTGTCCGCTGGACTCTGCGCTAGGCGTGAACAGTGCCCGTCGACTTCGCCCTGATGAGATGCAGCCTATCAGCTTGCCGCTGCTGTCCGACTGTCGCTCTGTTTTGGACGCACGCCTCTCGTCCCGGGTTCTCACGGCCCGGTGATCTGCAGCTTCTCGACGGCAAAGGGAACCCAGCCAGCGCCGGGTCAGCAAACGGCGAGCAGAGTCAGCAGGTTTCCAGCTGACACAGATCCTGGCTGCCCTCTGAGCTGACCTTGCTCTCCCCAGAACCAGGTCTGCTGCTTTTCCAGCTGCCTGCTGCTTAGCTACACAAAGCTGAACCACCTGGAGGAAAGCAAACTCTGCGTATTGTCCTGTTGTGACTGTGTTCACTGTGCACTGAGGTGGAAGGGAACGGCCAGGCCAGCAGCCCAGAGCTCATCCCGGTTAGGGTCGTGTCAAGAGTGGACAGAGGGTGACCTGTCACCCCCCCAGGATAAGACACAGGGATCACCTCCCACCCATTGCTGTCCCCAGCTGGGAGGTCTGGAGCACCTGGGGTGGAGGATCTCACTCAAGGTTCACTGCAGGGTGCACAACAGGGACTTGAACCCTCAGCCTACTGTTTTAATTGCATAGTTATCGAAACAGCATCCGCGAGCAAACAGGGAGATGAATCAAGCACTCAAGTCGACATCTTTAACCATCACTGTCATCTCCTTCAGGCAAACAAGCCAAACAAACAAGCTGCTTCAGGATCTGGGCCCCGGAGGGTCTTCAGATGGAGAAATGACTGTGTGCATCTACAGGCTGGATTGCTAAACTGCAAGGAATTTACAAACGTGTTTGACTTTGATCTGGCTTTATATCTGCTTTGTTCTTTTCTGCTTGTTAACCCTGTCCATCAATCAATCAATCAATCACGTATCTAATCATTAATTGAGGGATGTATGGATTTATGGACAGATGGGTGAATGGATGAATGGACTGATTAGTTGATTATGGATTGATGGGTGGATGGATAGATGGATAAATGGATAGATTGACTGACTTATTGATTGATTCGTTGATTAACTGATTGATGGGTGGATTGATGGATTGGTTGACTTACTGATTGGTTGATTAGTTGATTAACTGATGGATTGATTGGTTAGTTGACTGATGGACGGATGGGTGAAAAGACGATTTACCTCAGCGCTGATGTTCCTGGCTAAGCCCTGAAACTCCGGGGAGGTGTTGTCGGAGAGCTGAGGGATGAAAGTTTGGTCCAGGCTGAAGCTCAGCTGGCGGACGGCGGGAGCAGGAATCCCCGTCGCGGTGGCGGCCCCAGTGGTGCCACCAGGGGGCGCTGTAGCTCCAGTTGTGTTTGCAGTGGCTGTCGAAGGTGTGGTCTGAGCTGCCCCAGGGAGCGTTGTTAAGGCCGCTGTAGACGCCACTGAAACGGAAGATGTGGTCGACGGGATCCCCTGTTCCCGTGAACCTGTGGGGCTGTCTGAGCTCGTCCTGCCTGGCGTGGCCTGGGGGTGGGTAGTCACGGCTGAGGCTGTGGTTTGTGCTGGGGCCCCTGAGCCCGGTGTTGTCTGTGTGGAGACTGCAGAAGTTCCTCCCGGGGTTTGTGTTAAATGTGGATCCCCAGCTGCAGAGGTTACATTCGCTTGTGTCCCTGTAGGGGGCGCTGTGACTCCAGCTCCCGATGTGCTGCTCTCGGCCAACCTGGAGGCAGTAGTTGCTGCGGAAGTCGTGCTGCCCGAGTCTGGAGTGGATGTAGGCAGCACACAGGCAGCAGCTGTGTCAAAATGAGGAGGAATCAGTCTGAGAAAGAGACGCCCCCTTGTGGGGGCTCAAAATCCTGCATTTGTACATGACAGCTCACGTCTGCTTTCCCCTGACCCCAAAGAGTTCACACCTCCAATGTTTTAACCCCGATGACACATTACACTTCACTGTACTTTTACTGCAGGAACCCAGCAGAGACATGCAGCCTGGAAGACAGGCACACGCTGACAGAGGAGCTTCTGAAACCCTGCTCGCTCTGGTTCCCTGGCTGAAACGATGACAGAGTGTGTCTGCTGGAGGATTAGACTCTGCCGCACCCTGTGCACCTAGAGGGCGCTCTACTTCTGTCCTGTTCCTAGTTCCCTGTGATCATTCATGTCTTTCCGGTGTGTCTTGTTGTGTAGCCTATTTACTTCCTGTGTCTGCTCCGCTCCTCGCTCAGCATTGAGGGTACGGATGCCCTGAGACCCGCCTAGCACCATGTCGCCCCAAGTCCGTGGCCTGAGGGCATAGGTTTCTATACCGACCTCGTCTGACCCCCTGAGCCTGGGCTAACCTCCGTGTTGCCCCCTTTTACCGCTACGCTTATGGTCTTTATTGCTCTCCTGGCCATTCCACGGCATGCCCTTCCGACATCCGTGACAGGCTGCCTGCTAGTTTAGCCCTGGCCGGCCCTTGTGAGGGATCACGCCCAGCACGAAGGCTCCCTACGGGAGCAGTCCCAAGGCATTGTGGGAATGATGTTTTCAGATTGTACTCTTTCAGAGAGATTTCCTGGAAGGGACTACATTTCCTGGGAGATGTTTGAACTTTGGGGGAATTCGGTGTGAAACGAGGTGCGTCCAGCCTCTGCAGGAGCTGCTGCAGAACATTTCATCGCTGGCTCCAAATTCCATCTCGGACTCCGGTCCCGGGCCCTCTGACTGCCGCGGGAAGCTGGGATTTCTGGTGAAAGGATGGCGGCAGGAGTCAGAGGGCTCGGTACTGTGGGGTTCCTGAAGAGATGACAAACTGACGCCACAGTTGTGCCCTCAGTGTGGGACAGTATCTACTGTATTACACAGGTTAATGAAACACAGATACCTAATAGAATCAGCAACGTGTAAGACATTCATATGCTCAACACAGGAGAGCTCTGTCATATCAGTAGTAAGGTATTTCAGGTCTTAAAATGACAGAACGCTCCGCTGAACAAGATCCAGTAACAGCTCTGTTTGCTCAAGAGCTTTCTACCCAAACCTCCTGATGAGCCACAGGGCGTTCCTGCTCCCAATCCTAAAACCAACAGCGTGACTCACCAAACAGAAGGCACAGAGAGCTCCGAATCCACATCCTGGTCCTGCAGGGCTGGAGCCTGTAAATACCAACAGGAAGAACAGGTAAGGACACACGTGAGGTGTCACTGATATCTGAAATAAATCTGTTCATGTATTTCTGTGTGGTAGGGAGGGCTGGTGAAAGAGCAGTATATCGAATAACAGCGCCATGAAGTTACTGCATTACAGTAAAGTAAATCCAGTCATCCTCTCCAGTCTTTTTATTATTAGTGTCTGTAATAGTAATAGTTCAGTTTATTGAGAAAACACATTAATATAATATATAACTGAGGCTCTTTAGTTTGAAGGGAGTGTCCTACATTGACAGGCTGAAGGAACTGGGTCTCTTTAGTCTGAAGGGAGTGTCCCACACTGACAGGCTTAAGGAACTGTCTCTTTAATCCGAAGGCAGTGTTCCACACTGACAGGGTGAAGGAACTGAGTCTCTTTAGTCTGAAGGGAGTGTCCCACACTGACAGGCTGAAGAAACTGAAACTCTTTAGTCTGAAGGGAGTGTCCCACACTGACAGGCTGAGTCTCGCTAGTCATGAACAAAGAAGATTGAGGGGACCTGACCCAAGTTCTCAATGCAAGCACTTAGGATGTCTTCAGAATGAACACTGAAACACGAATCAGAGGACAAAACAACATTTAAACCTGACAACAGGAGGCAGTTTTGTGCACAGTGGGTGGTGGGGGTGCGGAACAAGCTGACCAGCCATGTTGTTGAAGCCAGTACCCTGGTTTCTTTCGAGAAACGGCTGGACGCCTCGCGCTGGGAGGCACCTGCTGCTGGAGCCTCTCGAGGAAGGAGGACAGTTCCTCTGTCATTCCCGTGTCGGCCCAGTCCTGACCCAGGTGACCCACACACCTGTTGGGTTTTGTTCCAGCTAAGCCTTCAGTTAGACAATCAAACTTTCATGGACTTAATAAGAAGGTTGATCGGAACTGTTTGTTCCCGGCTCTTAAAGATGTTGGAGCTTGAACCATTATTATTGTATTGTGTAGGTGAAATAGAATCCCAGACCTGCGACTAGAAACAAATTCTACTGAAGCAGCTTCTGAGATCAGGCAGGACTTCAATGATCTAATGAGGGTGGGCTGGAATGAACACCATCAGTAGTGTGGGTCACCAGGACCCGGGTTAGGAACTGCTGTAAGATGGAAAGTGATCTACAAAAGCGTGGAGCTGTAATACTGTAAGTCTTAATTTGATCGAAGCTTTTCATCCAACGTGACTTGCGTTTGTCCCCATTTATCATTTACTCAGCTGGGTGTGTGACAACTGCTCCGAGCAAAGCGCCTTGCTCAGGGGTATGAGAGCTATGCTCCGCCCAGTATTTGAACGTGCAACCTCTTGGTAATCAGCCCAGACCCCTGAACAGACACACGCCTTTGGAAAGAAACAGTCAATCTGGAACAAAAGCACGGCCACTGCCTACTGTTTGCATTACACACCCTCGTCAAGACAAGTTCCAGCGTTCGCCTGTTTGTGCTCAAAACAGCAAGCCTGGCTGTAGTTTCATAGAAGACAGTTTGCAGAACTGGTAGGAAGTAATTCAGCCAACTCAGTTAGTTCGTTTTATGTCAGGACTTAATTGATGCCAGCATCTCCTCCAGCTAAGTTATGAAAGATACCAGGGAGTCGGCTTCAACAATACAGCTGGGCAGCTTGTTCCACACTCCCACCACCCTTTGCGTAAAGAATTCCTTTTAGCGCTCGAGTTTGTGACCCCACTCAGCTCCTCCCATCCCCGGGGTTGCTGTGTGATTCAATTTCGCCTCTTCCTCAAGAGAAATCCCCTCAAGACAAGTCCTCTCCCCTTCAACCAGGCAGGTCACGTATCGGTTCCGGCCAGGAGGGGCAGACTGTTTACTGCGGAAGAGATCCGAACCCACGCAACAGGAGCACCGTCCCTCTCGGGATCTGAACCAGCTTCTCTATTTTGGAATGTGGGTTACGACGATCTAGATTGAGGCGATGACGATTATGATGATGATTATTATTATTAATCAATTAATCAATTCAGGGGCGCAAGGTGGGATACACCCTGGACAGGACACCAGTCCGCCACAGGACACTCACACCCACACTCTTGCCTGAGACGGTTTCCCCAGAAGCAAATAAACCTACCAGCATGTCTGCAGACTGTGGGAGGAAACCCACAGGATCCTGAGGAGAACATACCAACTCCACACAGACAGCACCCCAGGAGCGGAACCCCGCGCCGAGAGTCAGACTGCCTTGCTAACCACTGCGTCACCGTGCCACCCAGCGTTATTATTATTGTCCGTTTATTCTCTACCCTCCTCCTCCCTGTCGATGTTGATCTGATGACCCTAGGCACGGTCTGTTCTGTTGTACGGTGCAGGCTTAGCCGGTTGCCGTGCGGTAACGGGACACCGCGAGGGGGCGGAGCTAGCGGCCCCGTGTGCGCTACAGGGCGAGGGCGCGGAGTCCTGTCCTCCGACATGGTCCGAGCGG